ATCGATAATGAAGATAAGAAAGCAAACCAACTAGTATTATATTGTTGGACAATTGATTTGTTGATTTGCTGACTTGTGTCCGAACTAGATGATAAGTAATCAAGTAGATTTCAATATTATTGATAATTTGTAATAGGGTAAAGATTGGCCGCTCAATAAAAGGAAAACGAAAGAGTCAACAAACGAAACTAAAAACTTGAAGTAAATAGATTTTGAATGGATATCGCAGAAGAAAAACCAGGCAATTTGTGGGAATTGGAAAAACAAATAATCAAGCACATAAACTACTAAGGATCAAACAATATATTTAAGGAATTGGTAATCAATAAGCATGATTCTTGATAAAAAGTCCTTCACCGGCTGCAGCACCATCAATACCACCTCCATATTGACCAAGGGATGATAAACTGTTAGCCTATTTAAAGAAACAAGAAAGGGAAAAATATTAGTCAAAATGAAATAAAAATTAATCACATAGACTGACACAATATGACATGTAATAAGTGGAACGGAAAAATAAACCCCAGAAATAAACGATCAATTGTATGGTTAGAGAAAAGAAAATTGATTAAACCTTGACGATTAACAGAAATAGAAAACCAGAGTAACATGCAGAACAATTGTTAGAATTCGAGAATACGCAAGTAATTCGTGTTAAAACAACAATCCAACAATAATGATGGATAGACGAAACAGAACAAAGAAACAAAAAAATCAAAACATTAGATTTTTTTACCCCTAATAGAAAATGGATAAAAAAGTTCATCTAATATTTATGTGCTGCCACATAATTAGATGAAACCGAAGCCAAACTAGGAATGGAACCAGCAGTATATTGACCAACACATGCTAAACCATTGGCCTGAATTTTGAGTAACGCAGTAAAATTAATGAATAAAGAAGCAAGATGCGAGTGAAGTATAAAGTAAAAAAATAAAAGGAGAAAAGGAGAAAAGAAGAAAAAAAAAGGAAAATCGCCTAAAAGTAAAAAATCATCACAAACCTTAGCCCGTTTAAGGAATTCAGCTTGACCAGCCGGTATGTTCTCTTTTTTACCGCTCCAAGCTTTAAGAGCACTGGCCTGTAAAGCCCGACCATAACTGAAGGTGAGACCCCAAGGCTTCTTAGCATCCAATTTGTTGATAGCATTCAAGTTGACGGAAGCTTCTTCCTCTGATTGTCCACCAGAAAGAAAAACGACACCAGGCATTGCGGGTGGAACAGTTCGCTGTAAAGCAGTAACGGTAGCCAAAGCAACTTGTTCAGGAGTAGCTTTGGTAGGACAACTTTGGCCAGAAGTAACCATGTTAGGTTTGAGCAAAGTTCCTTCGAGGTAAACATTGTGATCATTAAGAGCTTTGTAAACAGCGGCTAGAACTTTTTCAGTAACCAATTGACATTTTTCAATCGTATGATCACCATCAGGTAAAATTTCGGGCTCGACGATGGGTACCAAACCAGCTTGCTGACAACAAGTAGCATATCGAGCTAAAACATTGGCATTTTCCAAAATTGCTAAAGGTGATGGTGTATTTTGACCAATTTTGAGGACACACCGCCATTTAGCAAATCGACAACCAGCCGCGTAATATTTTTGACACCGTTTGGTTAAATTATCCAAACCCTGTGTAGTTGTTTCACCTTCAGTTCCTTGAAGATCAACAACACCAGTGTCTACTTTAATTCCAGGAATAATTCCTCTGCTTATCAATAAATCAGGGAATGCAACTCCGTCATCAGTTTTCTGGTAAACAGTTTCATCGAACAGGATAACACCACTAATGAATTTGGGCATATCATCACCGCTAGTAAACAACAATTGACGGTATTGGCGACGATTCTCTTCATTATTTTCGACTCCAATACTCTGCAATCGTTTTCCCATGGTACCAGTGGACTCATCTGCAGCTAAAATACCCTTACCAGGAGCAACGATAGCAGCGGCAGTAGCCTTCAATTCATCGAAAAAAGCCATTTTAATTAGACGATAATAATAAGGGATAGATGATGAAATAATAATAACAGTAAATTAACTATATCAGAGCAAAGGATAACAACAGTTTATAAGCTATACGAGGATCTGATAAAAGAGTTTAAAGTTGCTTCTTCAAAGAGTCCTCAAGAAAGACCTTCAATAAGGACATGATTGTGCTGCATTCTAGTGTAATGAAATGTTAACCAGTGTTACAATGCGGAGAGTTTAAATGCAATTGTAAATATTTCCTTATGTTATTATTTGTAATTGTGAGAAAGTTGATCCAGGTTAAAGTTACAAGGGCAAGAGGTTAAAGGTATAAGGACATTTTTATCAAAGGTTAAATAAACCTAACCACAAGGATAACACAAAGATTAGTGAATCTATGGGAAATAAACATAAAGACCACTTTCAATACTTTCATCTTTATTATAATATTTTAAATCCGAATAAGTAACTTCCTTCCAAAGCAACTTGATTATCAAAACAAAGGTACAAAAAGTTCTCAGGTTAGTATTTAGTAATGGAAAGGGTAACATAAGGTTTTAATATAAGATCTTAGTTCAACCTTTAATATCAAATTCAGCCAATAACCGACTCTTATTATAAATTGGATATGCCTACAACAACCGGAATCAAAGGATTTTTCAAGTTATGAACGAGTTAACTTTTACTTTTAACCCTTTCGATTTTCAGCCTTCAAATCATAATTTTGACCTCCAAAGAGCCTAAACTAACCTTGGTTTGGAGTAAAATTAGGTTAAAGGCACCAAAGGATTGAAAAATTCACCCATTTAGTCTTAACCCTTTCACTAACTTAGAGATTACGGCTGAAATATGGCTGGAAATATGCTAACTTTTGATGGAATTGGCCTTTTCATATTCATTTAGTATAACTAATTATTGGAATTCATCAATTGACTGATTAATGATTGTTTTAAAAAATCTAACATTGAGAATAATTAAATCGAGATAATCAGGCTTGTGTGAGAGCAGTCTAATCTTGATAATTCAGTCATCATTTAATGTTGTCTTATAACTTGTTACTGTTAATCTTTATTTTACGCACGATCGATTGCTTCTTAATTAATATTGTTGGGATTATTTAAGATTTAATTACATTAATAGGTTCAATATATCAATTCTAATAGCATGGTTTGAAAGGGAAAGCTTTAGCCTTATGTTGATACATTTGTGTGAAACCTGATCAAGGTTAAGGGTAAGGGTTAAAGGTATAAGGTTATGGGAAACTATTTATAACGGGTTTCACCAAATCATATGTAAGATGACATAAGGTTATCCGAAGCATCTTAGGTCAGCCTTAAAATACCAGATTCAACCAATAACCGAGTGAATCAAACTAAACCATCCTTAGTTAAGAGCTGAAAGAGTCAACTTTTACTTCCAACTCTTTCGATTTATAGCCTTCGAACCATGATTCTGACCTCCAAACAGACTCATCTAACCTTGGTTTGCGAGAAAAATCAGGTTAAAGGTTCCAAAGAATTGAAAACCGATGCATTAACGATTCAATCATCAATTGATTGATCATCAAAAGATTCAATGGAGATATTTTTCAATAATTTTAAGTCCACTCAAAAATATTCACTCAGGTTGGTTCCTGAATCGTTAAAGGCTCTAACAACTAAGTTTTTCATTTTTCAATTAATTGATGATGATCTATAATCCAGTTCATATTGTTTTAATATTTTCGAAGACAATCAACTCATAATCTTAATTACCATCGATCAAAAGGCAAATGAAATTGTTCTTCAATTTTATCATGAATAATTTTTAAAAGATGAGTAAAAGATTCTTTTTTCAAAATGCTAATTTCATTGTTTCAAATATTGTTAATTCACATTTTGTGCGATTTATGTCTTTTCATAATAAAAAGCTACATCTTTAATACAAGAGTGGAAGTTGGCCTTATGTTGATACATTTGTGAGAAACCTGATCAAGGTTAAGGGTAAGGGTTAAAGGTATAAGGTTATGGGAAATTATTATAACGGGTTACAACCAAATCATATGTTAGATGCCATAAGGTTATTTCCTATCATCTTAGGCCAACCTTTAAATACCAGATTCAACCAATAACTGAATGAATCAAACTAAAACCATCCTTAGTTAAGAGATGAACGAGTTAACTTTTACTTTTAACTCTTTCGATTTGTAACCTTCATACCATGATTCTGACCTCCAACTAGTCTCATTCAACCTTGGCTTGAGAAAAAATCAGGTTAAAGGTTCCAAAGGGTTAAGCGTTTTTGAATTTTGAGTCAATGTCTTAATTCGGCCTTTAACATCAATCTCAATATCGATCGGTATTTTTAAGACTCTACAAAACCACCAAGTTTCAAATCTCTTCTTGTTTTACCATCTTCGCGAACAAATCGTTCCCCGAAATTACTCGAAAAGGTTTGAGTTAACAAATTTGAACAAATTTCTTGACAGCAAACATCCAAAAGGTCAAATTGATTTTAAGCTACTTTAAAGTCTCAGTCTTCACCAGTTAAGCTCCAGCCAAAAACTCTCTCGGTTCATAGTTACGACGCGTCGAAATAGCGCTTTATTTCGCACTTCATTCGCTTTTTATAGAACATATTTTTTTATGTGAAATTATATCAATAATAAGAAAATGCAATTATTTCGAGGAATAAAATTTTATGTTTCTGTAAAACAATTCACTTAGATTTCGACAAGAATTAACCACAAAAGAAGCTTAATTTTAATTAACTCGTATGATTATTGTCGTAAAATTTCCTCAATTTAACTTAAACCACCAAAGGGCAAATTATTATAAAACTATTAGATTTAAAGATTTAAAGATTAACATATTGTTAGATTTTAAGATAAAAGGTTTTTTTGAAGGGAGTTTACATTTTCAAATAATCCGCTTTACATTTCACTACGCAGGTATTTTTTCACCAGGGCGCAGCATAGGTCGTCCCTCATCTTTAAACTGCTTAAAGTGTTTATTTTTTTTGTAAGAAATCCTGAGCCTTAACACTTGTAATTTAGTCCTGTGGTCAGTTAATTATTTTTTAGTTACATTTTATTTTGATGTTTATTATATTAAAACAGTGTATTCTATTTTATGTGTTACACCAACGATAATGAAGATACCTCAAGTTGAAGTACAAATCGAACTGGGCCACCATGCAAAACCTAGAGAGAAACCCACTGAAGAAGGCTATACTCACGATTGGATGGTCTATGTCCGTGGACTTGACGGATGTGACATCCAGTATTTTGTCGAGAAAGTTATTTTTCAATTGCATGAAAGCTTTCCGAAGCCTAGAAGAGGTAAGTAAAAGTAACCTTGAAAATAATCGATCTAAAAGCTTGGTCAGAGTGAAGAAAAAGAGGGAATTTTTCTGCGTTTTCTATCTAGCTTTTGAAGGCCTTTACTGTCATCTAATTTAACAATAGTTTGACTATATCTTCAAAGATAATCTTGGTTCCTATTTGTGAATCTCAATTATATTTATTTTAGATGTTTACTCGCTCCTTAAATCTTGTACTCTTCTTCTCAAACTTTGCTTTTGATCGGTTGCTTTCAACCGCCATTATCGGTGCCATGATGGATTGCGTTCGCAATGATGAAATTATTTCTAATATGTTTTTTTCTCTATTTTTCAACAGTGATCAAAGAGCCTCCTTATCAAATATCTCAATCTGGATATGCTGGATTCGAACTACCAATCGAGATTTATTTCCGTAATAAAGAAGAACCAAAGAAAGTTCAATATACTTATGATCTTTTCCTCAAGATTGGTGAACCTTGTACCAATGCCCAACAACAAAAGCTTACTTTTCAAAATCCTAATGCCGATTTTAAAAAGAAACTTCTTAAAGCTGGAGGGGTAAGTCGAAACATTTATTTACTTCTATGTGAATTTGGTGCGAAGATAAATTCTGTTGCGTATTTACATTAGGTTTTGTATGACATTTGAGTAATTCAATTTTAACGAAAGCGGTAATTCGCTGTTATTGTAGGTAAATTAGAGATGGCGAGTGTGAGCCACTTGAATTGATTATTATGCAGTGAGTAAAGGCTTTCAGTTATGCCTCCCATCTTTCCTCCCATCAATTTACTCACTTTTCTCTTCCAATACTGTCTTATGATTTTCTTTCTTTCTCCATTTCCATTCATCGCTTGATAACTCACTCACACTTCATAATTCCCCTCTTTCCCCATTCTCACCTGTTTAACTCTCTCTCTCCCCTTCTTCTTTCGAATTCTCTTTCTATTTCTCTCTCACCGTTCAAAGTGATTAGAACCTGTCTGGATTACCTTAATTTAATGGTGATCTTATTTCAAGAGAGTGAGGGGAGAGAGAAAGATCTATCTTGTCTGAAAAACATCCACAGAAATGTACCTTTCTCCTCTCCATTTTTGTTTAAAAATCAGTGTCAACGTTAAGTAATCTATCTAAAGTTATTCTACTCAACTGTCTCCTGTGTGATATTTGAACAAATCAATAGGCGAATTCATCAATCAATGTCGTACTATTTGTTTCAAGTGTATTTTTTCTTGTTTAAAAACTGTTTCTCTTAGATATAACTTTCTCTTTTATTCATTCTTCTTGTTCAGTTCATCTGCTTTTAACTACCTTCCTCATCTGTATTCCTTTTCTCTCTACCCTCTTGTTATATTCTTATTTTAACAATTTCTTTTAAAAACTCGGATATTGCCATCAACATAATTAACAACAATATTGGTCCTACCAGCCTTTACACTTTTTAGTCTGTTTTTGTCGTTTTGGTGATGAAAAACTATGTTTCCATCCGGGCGCAGGTTTGATAAAACTTGATACATTTATACTGTGTTAATTCTCTATCGTGTTTTCCCATTTTAATCCAAATTTTCATCAGTGCTTAGTCTGTTTTGTTGTTGATTTTGCGACGTTTTAGTGTGGCAGAGCCATGTGGCAAACAGGAATTGATGGCAAACAACTTTACCCTAATTTTGCTGACTCTCTCTCCTCTCTTTTCGTTCTCTTTCTACATTTGTCTAACTCCACCAATACTTTCACCAATTTTTTTCTTCAGCCTTCTTTTTTCAGCTAACTCCGCTCTCTTGTTTCCTGATTTCGTCCTGAAATTGGAACAAATTTACCCGTGTAAATGAATAGCCAATTGTTTGTGTGAAAGAGATACCTTTTTCGTTATTGTGAAGACTTTTTTCATTGCACCATTCATTCACTTTTTTTTCATTCTCTTTGAGTTTATTTTAAATACACTAAAATAACATGGCTAATTATGTATTATTCTATCTGTTTCTTTCATCCTCCCCTTTTTAGGTTATCCATGAAAAATCATCGGTCTCAGATTCTCCCTCTCGCTCTTTATCTCTGGCTTTTGGAGATGACAAACACAACCATAAGTCTAGTAAATCAATCTCTAGAGATGTTACTGGCGAAAAGAAAAAATCAAGTAAAATGGCCAGTGTCATTTCATCGAAAGACAAATCTTTACATAGTCAACAATCATCCTCAAATCAAGGGCAGTCTTCATTGTCTTCATCATCATCGACACATCACACACAAATTAGTAGCTTTCACGAAAAGAGTGTCAACTCATCTGGCAATATACCTCTTCCTCCCTCATCATCATCCTCGCAATCAGTACAAGATCCATTTACCGATTTATTTGGTACCCCCATAAAGACAAGGCCATCTCCGGACTCCATACATTCTAAGTTAAAGGTATGTATAATTAAGACGATCTTATGATTTATTTACTTCCCCCGACTACTTTCCTCACTTTTGAATACGTTGTCTTTTTTACCTTCTTTTCTATCTAACCATCTCATACTTTTAATATCTCCTCTTAAATACTCTTTCTCTTTTTCATTCTCACGTTCATTGCTCTATCTATTTTTCTTGGTAACTCATCAATTTTTATTTCATTTTCTCTTACTTTGCAATTTTAGGATAACAGTGGAAGTGGCAGTGGAACTAGCAAAAGTGGCTTGAGTAGCCTCAAAGCCAGCTCTAAAAAGATCTCAACTGATATTAAATCGGTTTCTGGTTCATCTACTAAATCTCTGGAAAAAGAAAAGGATAAGGAAAAGAAACATAAGATAACTCCAAATGGTGGCATAGTGAGTTCGAAGGATATCAAGATCGAAAAAGATGCCAAGCCAAGCAAAGAGAAATCTTTGAAAAAGAGGGATGAAAGTCCTAAAATCAAAAAGGAAAAACTTAACAAACCCAATTTTGATGGAAGGCCAACGACTCCAAACTTAAGTGCCAGTTCCTCTAGCAAAAAGAGTACAAGCCTTCCAAATGTGACTAGTGTAAAAAAGGAACCCAGTGATACAAGTGGAAATACTAAAGAAGGAAGCTCCAGCAAAAAAAGGAAACGAAGTCTCTCTCCGCCATCCTTTTTATCAGGTGAAACTGGTGAAAAGAAAGACAGTGGAATTATAACTAAGTCAATCAGCAAAGATGGTCTTTCGGAAAAAAGTCATAAAGAGAAATCAAAGAAACAGAAAGCATCAACGCGAGATCAAGTCTCATCGAGTGCCACAGTCGGAAGCAATAGTAACCACAAAGTGAAGGACGTTAAAAAGGAATCATCCACATCAACAACAATAAGTTTGACGAATAACGAGAACACGGGTACAACAACACTGGAAATCAAATCTGTTAAAAAGGAGAAAACTTGGGACAGTGAAGTTAAGAAATCAAGATCTAAAGAACACAAAACTGACGAAGTGAAATCAAGTCGGGAAAACGTCAGCAAAGACAGCAATAAAATCCAAGTCCGTGATAAAGAGCTACTAAAAGAAAAGGAGAAAGAACAGCCCCAGCCCCAGCCACCAGAAAAAAAGGAAAAGGAAAAGAATAAAGAGAAATCAAGCAAAAATCGTGATCGAGACAGAGATCGAGATCGAGAAAAAGATCGAGAAAAGGATAAAGACAAGGAAAAAGAAAAGAGCAAAGACAAAGACAAAGAAAAACTAAAAGATCGAAGTAAAGATAAGGACAACAGCCATGACGATTCATTCAGTCCTAAAGAATCTACTGGTCCTAAATTCGCTAAATTCTCGAAAGATAAATACCATGGTGGAACCTTGGTTAATAACAATCATAACTTAAATGCTAATGTTAATAGTTTAAGAGATCCAAGTAGCAGTCCTGCTTCCATAGTTAGTGGTTCATTAACTCCTGGAGGGGGTGCTTATCTCGGAGCTCCATCATCAGTCTCATCTCTTAATGGTCCTATTACAACATTAATGGCTGAAATGGACCAAGAATCTTTACCTGTTTCTCCTTTATCAAGTTGTGATCCTCCTTCTCCGTTAACATTTGGTTCTAAAGATAAAGATAGTTCATCTGATGATGAACACCATCATAACGCCACATCCAACATCAGTAATATCAACCATAATAAACCTCATCATCTTAACAGCAAGAGAGATGGACCGCCACCTCCAATAAGGAACTTAAATTCGTCTGAGAAGAACAAAAATCGAGAACTGCCACAAAGTATTTCTAAAAAAAGAAAAGAAACTCCTAGTAATGCCAAACCAATAGAGCCAATGGATGAAACCGATAATCAGTCATCTCCTAAGCCAACCATTTCCCGTGGACCACCTAATTTAACTACATTCGATTTCGACTATATCAACCAACTCAAAGCCCTACACCGTAAAATCAATGACTTGAGAGACCGAGACATTCTCCAGCGTATCGTTGACATAATCGAGGAAACAGGTCTTTTCAGTATGAATAATTCTGCATTTGATTTTGATTTAATGCAATTGGACCGTAATACTGTTCGTAAAATAAGACAATGTTTAATCTCCACCTAAATGTACATACTTGTACTTATGTAACAATGTAAATAATTAAATAATGTATCTGTGCAATGTAAAATTACTTGTTGCAGTAATTTTCCAATAAATATATTTATCATTTATAATTCATACAAAATGTTTCAACAATTTATTCATTCGAATCGGTATTTATTTCGGGTCATTAGGTAAACTATAACGAATTAAAGTTGAAGCTATTAAAACAGTTATCTCTAGCCTACATATTTGTAAATATTAGCTACTATTTCTTATGTATCAATTAACCGTGTATTCTTTGTTTGTAAAATTAAATGAAACAGTAGAGTAAAATTAGAATTGAACAATTTATTCACAAAATTACCAGCCAAATCTAAAGAGAGTTTAAACTAGTCAACATAATATTCATTGAACTCTTATTTTGACCACTTTCAGTTCAAAAAGGGCTATAGCTGAGAAAATTCAGAGCGTTACATATTTAATTGAAATTTCCTAATTAACCAGCTATTTTAGCTCTTTGCTGTTGGTCTCCAGACAATTGACCGAAGCTTTCCAATGCCTTCTTTACGAGGTTTAGAGTTAGTCCTTGATTTGGGTTAACTTCAACACAGTGAACACCTAAAGGAGACAAATCATCAATGTTTCTTTTTTCGTCATCGAATAACAACATCTCTGAATAGGGAATACCAGTAGCTTCATGAAGTTTGGTAACGTGGTGGGTCTTTCGAGCCGGAAAGACTTCTTGGTGTGCAAAAAGTTCACTCCAACCGTAATAGAAGAGGAGAACAGGACCTCCATGGTAATAATATGATCTTGAAACGGCAGCTAAATCGATACCATGTTCCTTGATGAGACGCAGGGCCTTCTCAGCTTCAGGGAAAGGTTCCATTTTAACACCTTTCGAATCATAAACTCCATCATCTTTTTTAAAATATGGTGGGACCATCTTAAATTTATCAACTCCCCATGGCCACAATGTAAAGTCCAAATCAATCATTGCTAGACGAGGCTTACCAGCAGCTCTTAACAAACTAGTCAACTTCATTGTTGAATAATTCTATTTGATAGTGAAATCACACAATTTGAATATGAAAATTTCAATAAATAAATAAACAATATTCAGTTGACCACTGGTTAATTAAATTTAGGCTTAATATTTTGCTGAAAAAAAGATAAACAGAGGTCTACTCAGAGTTTGAAGGACATGACTGTGCTGCATTCTAGTGTGATGAAATGTTAAACAGTATTACAATGCGGAGAGTTTAAATGAAATTGTAAATATTTCCTTATGTTATTATTTGTTATTGTGAGAAAGTTGATCCAGGTTAAAGTTACAAGGGCAAGAGGTTAAAGGTATAAGGACATTTTTATCAAAGGTTAAATAAACCTAACCACAAGGATAACACAAAGATTAGTGAACCTATGGGAAATGATCATAAAGACCACTTTCAATACTTTCATCTTTATCTTTGTATTATAATATTTTAAATCCGAATAAGTAACTTCCTTCCAAAGCAACTTGATTATCAAAACAAAGGTAAAAAAAGTTCTCAGGTTAGTATTTAGTAATGGAAAGGGTAACATAAGGTTTTAATATAAGATCGTAGTTCAACCTTTAATATCAAATTCAGCCAATAACCAACTCTTATTATAAATTGGATATGCCTACAACCACCGGAATCAAAGGTTTTTTCAAGTTATGAACGAGTTAACTTTTACTTTTAACCCTTTCGATTTTCAGCCTTCAAATCATAATTTTGACCTCCAAAGAGCCTAATCTAACCTTGGTTTGATATAAAATTAGGTTAAAGGCACCAAAGGATTGAGAAATTCACCCATTTAGTCTTAACCCTTTCACTAACTTATTGATTACTGATGAAATACGCCTGGAAATATGCTTAATTTTGATGGAATTGGCCTTTTCATATTCATTTAGTATAACTAATTACCAAAATTCATCAACTAACTAATTAATGGTCCTCTTAAACATCTAACATCAAGACTAATTTATTTGAGACAATTGGAACTGGGTTAATCTTACAATGTTAGTCTGAATCATTCATTTATTAAATGATGTCTCCCGAATATTGCCATAACTTTCAATCTTACTTTTATAAACCATTGAAAACCATTGTTTCAATTATTCAGGATCTAATTGTTTTAAGATTCAAAACATCAATGCTTAATAAAGAGCTATTAGTGCCAAGGTTTAAATATTAAGTTAATGGAAGGGTCTAACCTTATGTTGATACATTTGTGAGAACTTGATCAAGGTTAAGGGTAAGGGTTAAAGGTATAAGGTTATCCATGGGAAATTATTATAACGGGTTACATCCAAATCATATTTTAGGTAACATAAGGTTATTCGAAGCATCTTAGGTCAGCCTTTAAATATCAGATTCAACCAATAACTGAGTGAATCAAACTAAAACCATCCTTAGTTAAGAGATGAACGAGTTAACTTTTACTTTCAACTCTTTCGATTTATAACCTTCGAACCATGATTCTGACCTCCAAACAGACTCATCTAACCTTGGTTTGGGGAAAAATCAGGTTAAAGGTTCCAAAGGGTTGAAACCCGATGCATTAAAAAGTATCTTCTTCAATAACTTACAGTCCACTCAATAATATTGATTCAGGTTGATTCCTGGATTGCTACAAGTCCAATGAATATTTTTTTTTCTTTTTTTGATTAATTGATGACGATCATTACTCTGTGTTTATTATTTCCAAAGACAATCAACTCAATTCTTAATTACTATCTACTATAATATCTAGTAACAAAATTATATAATAAAACAAACAAAATTGTTCTTTAATTTTATCATGAATAATTTTTGAAAGTTATGTTCAATCTATTCGTTCTACAAAAGGCTAATTTCATTGTTTCAAATATTATTAACTTAAATTTCGTGCGATTTATATCTTTTCATAATAAAAAGCTACATATTTAATACGATCTTTAAGAGTGAAAGGTTTAGCCTTATGTTGATACATTTGTGAGAACCTGATCAAGGTTAAGGGTAAGGGTTAAAGGTATAAGGTTATGGGAAATTATTATAACGGGTTACAACCAAATCATCTGTTATGTAACAAGGTTATTTCCTAGCATCTTAGGTCAGCCTTTTAAGATCAGATTCAACCAATAACCGAGTGAATCAAACTAAACTATCCTAGTTAAGAGATGAACGAGTTAACTTTCACTTTAACTCTTTCGATTTGTAACCTTGCAACCATGATTCTGACCTCCAAACAGACTCATCTAACCTTGGTTTGGAGAAAAATCAGGTTAAAGGTTCCAAAGGGTTAAGCTTTTTTGGGCCTTGAGTCAATATCTTAATGCTTCCTTTAATATCAATCTCAATATCGATCGGTATTTGTAAGACTCTACAAAATCACTAACTTTTCAAATCTCTTCTTATTCCATTATCTTATTGCGAGTAAATCTTTCCACAACAATCGCCCAAAACGTGTGATTAAATTGAGTAAACAAATTTGAACATTTCTTGTCAGCAAATACCCAAAAGGCCAATTGATTTTAAACTACTTTAAAGTCTCCGTCTTGACTAGTTAGCTGACTAGCTGACTCATCTAGACTTGGTTTGTAAATAAATTAGGTTAAAGGTTCAAAGGTTGGAAGTTACAATCATGTATTGCTACTTGAAATATCCTGGTTGATTTATGCGTTAGTTTGAAGTTTAAACATTAGATTGCGATCAAACAGATGATTTCAGATCATCTCGCGTCTTCTCTGTCAAGGCATCTGTCAATCGACCACATGAATTAGAATCAGATTAAAATGGGAGATTTAATTTCAAAATAAATTAAGAATCGCTTAAGAAACTTACTTGCTTGAAGATTTTCAAAAATAATTATAATCTTATGAAAAAAATGTTTAAATTGCAATTCCAAATACTTGCCAAGTAGATTTGACCCTAGAAACTTTTTCATGACTCAATTTGCTGAATTGAGAGACTCTTCAATCAGTACTTGACATTTCGTTTATTGTGCTAATTAGTTGCTACATTTGATAACTAAATGCCGCAATAGAGCAAATCATTAAATTGCAAATCGTCTATATTCAATTCCGAATCATTGGCATGTAGATTCAATCCTCAAAACTTTTTCATAACTCAACTGCTACACCGAGAGACTTTTCTCCAATCGTTACTTGACATTTCGATTATTTGTTATATTTAATATTCAAATGCAGCAACAGAACTAAACAGCAAATCATTGAATTGTACGGAATCCTCACTGTCAAGATAATATTGTAAAACAAAAAACCAATACAATCTAGTATTGTTTAATTCAAACCATCGATTTAGACACAAATGGTAACGAAAGGTGACAACAAAGTCTAATTCCCGAATCGATTGGTAAAACTTGATCTTTCAAAGAATCACGCCTGGCGACCTTCTCAATTGGATTGAGGAATATGATTCCGATATTTTATTCAGTTTGATTCCGAAGGTTATGCACCCATTCATTGGGTTTCAAAATTTGGTGAATAGGTTGCACCAAACTGACTGTGGAACAATTTTTATTGATTTAACTTTTCGTCAAACTCAGGTTCACATGATACATGTATTACCGCAGCTCTACTGGAAAATAGTGTATCAGCTTCCATTCCGGCTAAGATAGTTTGTGGGCCCAATACGAAAATACTTATGTTTATGATTTGATACCAAATTGATACCATGATTTGATTTGGCAACCAGGTCTTATGTTCAGCCTAATTCACTAGAATATAAAAAAGTATTAGAAGCTAAATTAGAATCTGCATCGAAGTTGAAAGAAGAAATTAAGAAATTTAGTGAATCAAAGTCTAAAGAAAGAATCAAATTACCTGGGATTCCTTATTTTAGTGTTAAACTTTGCCATACATGTAAAATTATTCAAGAAATAGGAACAAAGCATTGCTCTTATTGCAATCGATGTATTGCCAATCATGACCATCATTGTATTTATTTAAATAATTGTATTTCTTCTTACAATAGGATTCTTTTTATTGCATTAACTTTTAGTTTAGCGGTAACAGGATCGAGTCTTATCATTATACTTTACATTAGCTTGCAAAAAACGAATTACAAAGTAAATTGGAGGCAATTTGGATTGTTTTTGCTTGCTCTCAATTTATGTTTCAACGGTGGACTTAAATGTTGTCCATTAAATTAAAAGGCTTTGCAAAAATCAAGATAGAATATAAATGCATCTTCATTTTTTAACATGAAACTAAAAATCAACATTTCTCTCTTTATTCTTCAGCGAATAATTGCAACTTTTCTTTAAAAGTGAGCTTCTCAGGGCCAGCAATAATTTTCTTCTGAGGTTGAGTTTTCATTTTTTCAGCCTCGATTCTTTCTCTAGGATCTTTATAAATTTCATGGGCGCCAATAACATTTGGACCATAACTTTGGAAATTCTTTGCTGGGTCATTTTCATCTTCCATTTCAAGAGCCTCACTAATTTCTTTCAGCAAGGAAGCACAGTTAATTAAGGGGTGATGAGGATTCACTTGCTGTGATTGTTGTTGGTGTAGTTGCTCATTTGGTTGTTGATTTGGTTGTTGATGCTGCTGTTGATTTGGTTGCTGGATTTGTTGTTGCTGTTGTTGATGTAGTTGCTCATTTGGTTGTTGATTTGGTTGCTGTTGTTGATGTTGATGTGGTTGTTGATGTGGTTGTTGATGTGGTTGTTGATGAGGTTGTTGATGTGGTTGTTGATGAGGTTGTTGATGAGGTTGTTGATGAGGTTGTTGATAATGCTGTTGATGTTGATGTGTTTGTTGGTGAAGTTGTTGATTTGGTTGTTGATGTTGATGTGGTTGTTGGTGTTGATGTGGATGTTGGTGAGGTTGTTGATGTGGTTGTTGATGTGGTTGTTGGTGTGGTTGTTGGTGAGGTTGTTGGTGAGGTTGTTGATGAGGTTGTTGATGAGGTTGTTGATGTTGTTGCATATGCTGTGGTTGCATCTGGTGTGGATGCATATGCGGTTGTTGTTGTTGTAGTAGCTGTTGTTGTAGATGCAGTTGTTGATGTGCTAGCTGAGGTGGAAGATGTGCTGGGTATTGAGGGGGTAATTGAGGTGGTAGCTGTGCTGGTAGCTGTGATGGTAGCTGAGGAGTAGCCCTTTGAACTTCGTTGAGGAAAGTAGCAAGTCCATTATAATAAGCTGCTTGTTTTGCTACTTCTAATCTTACGATAGAAGATTGAGTCATCAATTTTGCAGCTTTTTCTTGAGGCATGTCAATAAGTGAATGATTATTTACTGATAATAGTTGGTCTCCAGGTTGGAGACGTCCATCTAGGTCAGCAGTACCGCCTTTGATAATAGATTTTACATAAATTCCTATTTGACCTGTCCTTAAACTTCGAGCAGCGACAATGCTGAAACCTAAACCACTACCACTTTTTCGTAGCTGAATTGTGAAAGGAACAGGTGATGGTGATGGTGATGGAAAATGGCTCATAGACGATGATGCAACACCATGCAAATTGTCATAAATTCTATGACCAAGATCTATGGTATGATGATAAGGTGGAGGCAACATTGAATGTGATTGTGTCATTTTTCGCATCGAATGAGATTGGAGGGCTAATTGAGGCGATGATTGTGATGACTGTGATGATTGTGATGGAAGTTGTGATGAAACTTGTGTTGGAAGTTGTACTGGAATTTGAAGTGGAAGCTGTGATTGAAGTTGTAATGGAATCTGTGGAGGGAGTTGTGGAGGGAATTGTGGTGGAACTTGTGGTGGGAGTTGTTGTGTTGGAACTTGTGGTGGGAGTTGTGATGGAATTTGCGATGGAACTTGTGGTGATCCTGGTGTTATTTGAGGCTGACAATCAACAGATCTTTTTCTGATGTGAAAAGTTAGCTGACCTCGTGCAGGATTATGTTTTTGTTTGATGGCTAAAGGACAATCGTTGTCATCTAGAACATATTGTATTAATCTATCTTGCGGAGGCTCAATAACCAAAACTAAACAATAGCTAGAAGCAGGTTCAGCTTCTTGGAAATTACCAATTTCTCTGTATTTTTCCAAAATTTGTTGAACTACATAGCGGGCTGTGTCTTTAGCTGAAAGTAGCAACGTCTTGTAAGGTACATCTGGATTAAGACATTCTCCAAAAATGCGAAGAGTCCCTCCAGCATCAGGTCCATTTTGTTGTAAAAGTTGAAGCTTTTTTTCAAGCTTTTGTTTTCTTCTTCTTTTCATGACAGCTTCCGGATTAGAAATACTTCGAGTGAAACAAGTTTCAGGCAACTCATCATAAAGTTTTCCAGCAAGGCTACTTTCTTTCGATTCTTCATTCTTCTCTTTCTTTTTCTTATCCTTCTTTCCACTTTTTGATAATTTTCGGGTTAATGTACCAGATTCTCCAGTTGACTTTTCATCAATCCTTTTCAATAAAAATCTTCCTTCTCTATCATCTTTGTGCCAATTAAGTTGAACCAACAATGGCCTTTCATCATCATCAAGTTTACGCTCTTCACCATTTTCGTGGATTTCATATAATCCATACTGTGGAACTGACAGCATCTTAATATCAGCTCTAAACTTTTCAATTAAAGAATCTATAACATCTAAAGTTGTAGCATTGCTACAAACACGGACACACTTTGTAGCAACTTTCTGACCCGCATCCTGGTAACAAAAACGCATAACTCCACAAAATTCACCATTCTGTCATTTCAAAAAAGACAACAATTTGTAAACAAATAATTAGAATGGCAAATATAACAGATAAAGACAGAGACAAATAGGAACAGAGACAGAGAAAGAGACAGAAAGAGCAAAGGGAAAAGGGAAAAAGGAAGATAAACAAGAAAAAAAATAATGAATAAGTCAAAACTTACTTCATTTGGTAAACTTAAAGCAAATAGCTCAACTCGATTTATATTCCATTGGTTTATTAAACTCACTAGATCATCCATAATTAATTAAACAATAAACTAAAATTGTCAGATCAAATTAACTTGAAATAATTATAAAAATGAAAAAAAAACTGAAAGTATTTCAACTATGCAGTGCAAAGCTGATGGGAAAAAATGTCTGCTATGTGGCAACTAGCAGGCAGGAAAAGTTTTGGCTCAACTGACTTTAGTTTAGAGGCGTTGATAATGATCGATTAATCGAATATCAAATCTCAAAATCGAATCTTAACCCAGCAGTTTACATGTAAATGCTCTTTCTATTGACCCTTTCGCAAAATATCTCTTTCATCTCTTTCTTTTCAAAATAAGAGAAATACCTGAAACGGTAAAAATGTTGTTTTTGACTAGGAAATCAAATTTTTCAGGTGATTTGAATCAATTGTTTATGGTTATGTTAACCTTTAAACATTTTTCACTCTGTACACTCACTGCTCTTTCAGTGATTCAATTGTAATCATTGTGTTTAAAATTTACATGATTCAAACGATTTGGAGAACTGGAAACTATTAATAATTACTGTAAAATGATCTTCTGGAAATTTGATTTTTCCTGATTCTTGTCGCAACTGAAAAGTGAAGTAGAGATTTTCATTTTTAAACAATTAATACACGAATGATTGTGAACTCTTTTCATTATAATTGTCGAGCTCAATGTATTCAAAATAAGGACAACAAAACATGAAAAAACCACATTACATGTAAACGAATGAAGAGGATTGATGTGTTGGCCAAGTTGGGTGTGGAAATGATTGACCTCAGTATAATTGCCTTCGCTCTGGTTAAACCTAGACTAACCGTTTAGATGTCACTTAAAGAGGGCAACATTTAAACATGTAAGCTGATGACCACACTATATCCTCGTTTCGTTTGGAGGATGGTTACTCAGGAATGTTTGCCTTAGCTTTGGTCAAGCTTATGCTGACTATTTGTAGTTACCTTAAGAATGTTAATATTGAAGCATGGGAAAGTTAACCAATTAAGCTTGTCAAGCTATTATAAGTATGGCACCCGTGGCGTGGTCTTTGAGCTATTCAGTTGTACTCGGCTTCATTTTCATTTTTTATGAGTGAAACTGAATAATGACCAACCTTTTCATCGGACGGTTATTCGATTAAAAATCATTTATCAATTTTGATCATCATTTAATGATTTGTAAAATATGCACGGTATTTGGTATTGTTGTTTGATATTGTTTGTTATTGAATGTATTTTGAAGAAGCAAATCGTGGGAACTCGCTTATTACTGGTGCAACAATAACCAATATAACGATAACATGTAAAAAGATCTTATAACTTGAGAAATGTAAATGTTTACATTCACAAGAAAAAGATTAGCTCCAGAATAATTGTTGATGCTGATGATCTTGAATACGAAAGATTATCCCAAATCATTCACAGAATGTCATGGCAAGTTATAGGAATTGAAATTCGGACATTTTTATCCTAACATTGTAAGATTATAATTTTTTGAAAATCTCATCTAAATTGGTTTATGTCGTTTACTTGATCCTTCATTACTCGTCATCTTTCCTTTCAATGTAAGATGCAACTTCAGAAATCAAACTATCCCAGGTCCATGGAACATCATCTTCTTTAACTTGACCCTGTGAGACCAGTCTTGATGATAATATGGACGAATCGACTCCACAAAGATTTGAAAAGGCTTGATGTTTAATTATATCCTTTTCCAGCTCTTGTAGGCTTATTAATTTGTTGACAACAAAATTGTCAACAAAATCTTGAGGCCCTTTGCTTATTGGATCATCAAGCTCATCAATATCTGGAATAAATGGAATTGTCTCGTTTTCATCTGATTCCAATTCACGAGGTCGATTGACAGATGCCTTGACAGAGAAGATACGAGATGATCTGAAATCATCTGTTTGGTCATCTTCAAAAAGAGATCCTCGCCTTCTCCGTCCATCAACTCGTGTCTAAAAAAAGAAACACAAGAAATTAGTTTCAAGGGAAAAGTAGCTCATGGAAAATGTACTGACCATTTCATTTGAACCATCTCCAAATATGTGGGTAAGAGGATTATCAGATGCCATAATGTCATTTGGTAGTTCAATGGTAGATTCAGCATTTCGTCTGGTTTGACGAGTTTCACTCCGGGATTTTGGTGACAAACTGAATGATTCTAGGTCCGAGTTTATCAGATCATCTTCTAGTCCACCGATTGCAAAATGATCACGATTTATATGATTTGTATTATTCATCATCGAAGTAGTTTGTTTATGATTTTTTTCTGATGCATTTGAAAGAAACATAATTCAACTGTAAATAGAGAGACTTAATTAGAGAAAACATTTGTTTATAATTTTGAGGTGACGAACAGGTAGCCTAGGATACAACCGTTACCTTAACAAACCTTACCTCTATACAGTTGACCTAAATGTTTCTTTAGTTATGTTATCTTTTACCTGAGAAATTTTGGCAATGCAATTTTAGGTAGCATTGATTTAACCACATATTTTAAACTCTTACCCTTAAGGGCCTTAACAAGGTCAAGTTTCTTCACAAGATGAAGTGTAACAACGTGAGGCCTACATTTATATTGCTTGGACTTAATGCACTGATATTTTGAGAGTCTAAATTACTGAATTTCAAGGCACTTGACCATAGTTTACGTTTTACAATCAAATTCCGTTCATTAATGCAATTTGCGATAATAAACTGAATTGGACGAGGTTCAATTAACCTGATTAATATAAAGAAATACATGATAAAACAAATCATGAAAAGATATACTCATTTGATCGCAACCTAATGTGTGAACTTCCAACTAACGCACAAATCAACCAGGATATTTCAAGAAGCATTAATTTTCAACCTTTGAAACTCTTAACCTAATTTATTTACAAACCAAGGTTAGATGAGTCTGTTTGGAGGTCAGAATCATGGTTCGAAGGTTATAAATCGAAAGAGTTGAAAGTAAAAGTTAACTCGTTCATCTCTTAACTAGCATAGTTTAGTTTGATTCACTCGGTTATTGGTTGAATCTGATATTTAAAGGCTGACCTAAGATGATAGGAAATAACCTTATGGTATCTAACATATGATTTGATTTGGTTGAAAGCCGTTATAATAATTTCTCATAACCTTATACATTTAACCCTTACCCTTAACCTTGATCAGGTTTTCTCAAAAATGTATCATAAGGTTAGAACCCTGCCATTAACTTGAGATTTAAACCTTGGCACTAATAGCTCCAAACATCTTTTCTAAAATGCCGCTTGCAGGTTTCCTTGGTTTCGAGCTAGGTTGACCATAAGTAACAACTTGTTTGACGAGAGTCAGCCGACGGTTACTTCTTCAGTCTCACCCAACCAGCATAGTTGGAATACTTTCAGTTTTTTTTCATTTTTATAATTATTTCAAGTTAATTTGATCTGACAATTTTAGTTTATTGTTTAATTAATTATGGATGATCTAGTGAGTTTAATAAACCAATGGAATATAAATCGAGTTGAGCTATTTGCTTTAAGTTTACCAAATGAAGTAAGTTTTGACTTATTCATGATTCTTTTTTCTTGTTTATCTTCCTTTTTCCCTTTTCCCTTAGCTCTTTCTGTCTCTTTCTCTCTCTTTCTCTGTCTTCTCTGTTCCTATGTGTCTCTGTCTTTATCTGTCTTTTGCCATTCTAATTATTTGTTTACAAATTGTTGTCTTTTTTTGAAATGACAGAATGGTGAATTTTGTGGAGTTATGCGTTTTTGTTACCAAGATGCGGGCCAGAAAGTTGCTACAAAGTGTGTCCGTGTTTGTAGCAATGCTACAACTTTAGATGTTATAGATTCTTTAATTGAAAAGTTTAGAGCTGATATTAAGATGCTGTCAGTTCCACAGTATGGATTATATGAAATCCACGAAAATGGTGAAGAGCGTAAACTTGATGATGATGAAAGGCCATTGTTGGTTCAACTTAATTGGCACAAAGATGATAGAGAAGGAAGATTTTTATTGAAAAGGATTGATGAAAAGTCAACTGGAGAATC